TCATCACTTGTGGGAGTTTCTATTGTTTTACATCAATTTGTAACGTATCCCTCTAAAAGTGTTATTTGCTGCGGTTCTAACGAGAGCAGCAAATTATTGTTTTCAAGGTTATAACTTTTCGACAGTTTTCATGTAGACATGGGAATAAAATGGCGGGATTTTACTAAGGCAAATCACTCTAAGCTGACATCGCTGCTGGCATTGGTGCTTTCTTCTACAATACATTTCTTTTAATTTACACCAATTTTCTTTGCGTGCATTTCAGTTTGATTATAGGTGGTGCGTAATGTATTTACAGTTTGTATTTATATACGTTAGTTCAACCTCTTTACCTCGAGGTTCATGTTCAGTGTCTGTCTCTGCATTCGGGAGGGTACAGGTTTCCTCCTCAGATGGAAAGGGGGGTTTTCCTGACCGGCAGCAGGCACAGATCTGTAAATTACACCAGTGATCATAAAACTGTACTCCAGAGTTTGCTGTCAACATTGTAATTTTTTCTTGTTGCTGCCTTTGCAGTATTTATGTGATTGTATAAATAAACGTGGACTGATGCTTGCTTTACGCTGAGCCTCTATCCAGTACAGATGTCAGTTTTCCTATTTCACAATGAGCAATTCACTGTCCCGATTGTCCACTATTTTGAAAATAGGGAATAGAGAAAACGCGACTATTATATCTCATCCTTTGACAGTTTCCATAGATTATCCAGAAAAAAGATTACAAGAAAACACAACGTATAAGCTAGAGGGTATAATCTTGAGAAAAAAAAGTCTCTTAACAATTTACAAGGAACGCAGAAGCAATAAAAAGGCAGGATTGCAAGTTAGAGTTTGGGAGGTGCAGTAAGAACAAGGAGCATGCCAATAAAAAGCATAACACACTGGGTTTGTGCCATACAAACAACCTCAAACCCTGTGATAAGGTCATGGACTGCCTACTGGTGAGCTTGGTGCTGTCCCTGTATCTGTGTACAGTTGGTTTGTAATCTGTTGAAGTTCTTTAATTCCCTGAAATGATCTTTCATACTTGTGTTGGACAAGAGATCGGTAAAAATGCACAGCAAACCATACCAAAACAATGCATACAGGTACTAATACCACAGAAGCAGCCACTGCCGCAGGCTCACTGTGATTGTAAAACTTCACCCAACAGAGTATTGCAATCTCTGCTAAAAAGAGAAGTGTTCCAAGACCAGTTGAGAAAATCCATACAATTTCTAACATTATGGATGTTTCAAAACGAAAAGAAGTAAAGACATCGTTCATTTTCCATAGATGTCTCAAACAAATAAACATAATCAGACATCTCCTTTGAAAGATTCACTTATTAATAAAACATAGGATATGCTGCTCTTAAAGACAAGCACCACTACTATTTGAAAATTTCGTGTTGAATACCGCTAATATTAAAAGAAACGAGAAAAGTTCCAATCAACGGGATGTACTTTCTTGTAGGAGAACAATTTCCCATGATTTGCTTGCTTTGAAGAGAAAACGGATGAAGTTACTGCAATATCAGCCTGAAAAAACAATGTAATCTTTGATGGGGCTTGAACCTACTTTCGAGTCATTTGTAATCGAAGCCTTTTGATTTCGTAAAATGCAATTTTAAAATGTCATCATTTTGACTTTCAGTCCACAAGTCAATCGAGTATATAAGCTAAATTTAGGCCGTCCAGTTTTTACATGAAATGATTCTGAACTTACAGATCATCTAACTTTATCATGATTGCGTGTAATAGCTAACGTCCTTGCAGGCATGAACTAGAATATTATTAGAATATTTGCTCAAACAACGGAAGAGATGTTTTTGACCTGTTACAGTGCAGGTGACTAAACCACTATTCATGTCGTGGAAAAGTGACGAAAGAGTGACCAACCCTTCAGCTTTATAGGATTTTCCGCTCAGAATGTGACCTGTATAGTATTGACCGCTCGGGAAAAAGCAGGAATGACGACATGCATTACCATCAAAATACAATCATATCGATTTTTAACTCTATATATTATCTAACGCTGACGCGGGGAAAATCCAGACATGTCTATATATATTGGATACTCACTTGGCCTTCGAACCGCAGTTGGTTAAACTTAGCTTTAAGTCTTAAATTTAAATAGTCCAGTTTTGGCCGATGGCTCATCAACTCGGTGATACAGGAAATAAAAGGCGCTGATGTCGAACGTTTCTTGAACGCTACCAAATGTTTACTTTTGCACTCAGACTTGGGAAATGACACACGGTAATCCAATCAATGTAGCAACACAAGATCTCTAACCCAAGTTTTTAATTGTTCAGACCCCCTTCCGTGATTCGATGAAACAGGCCAAGCAATTAAAGAAGCCAAATTTATTGGTAACAACATTATAAATGTTACAGTGCTAACAGCTAAATTTAAATCTTCAAAAGAGCTACATATGTTTCACATGTGCGAACTTGATCATCCCATTATGATTAAAATTAGGTCTAATAAACGACAATTGGTCATTTAGGTGAAAGGACTGTGTACTGTGTAGGACTGTGTTCCTTTTAAACTTTAGCCGGCGATTAAGCAATATTAAAAAATTAAAAAAGCACAAAAGTAATAGATATAAAATATGTCAGAATAATAACAGGAAGTGCTCTCAATAAACTAATATTACACCAATCTTATCTTAGTATTGTAAAAGAAATTGAGATCTAACTAAGCACAAATTATTTAAAACAAGGTACAACGTTCTCAGGCAATTTACAGTAATAGAAAGAAGTTTTGAGTTTTTAAAGTTCAATTATCCCAAACTTATAGAGTTTTATACAAATACAAACAAATCCAGTAGCACTGCATAAGATGCCTACGTGCAGCTAGAAAGTTTCAATATTGATTGATTTTGATTCACTACCTGACTTTTTCAGTTTTTCTGTTTTCTTTTCCATTCACGCTACTGAAAATTTTAAATGATAGAATTATTACTCGTTGACTCAAACTCTCCTAAGTAGAGAAACAATTCCGTGCTACTCTCGATTAAATGTCAAAAGCCTGTTGGCAAAAACGACTAACACAGCAACAAAATCAGAAAAAATCCATTCCCTAACCACTACCTTTTACCTTGGAGTTCAACAGTCAATCTCAAAGAATACATAATGAATCACCAAATCGAGTCTTGTAAACATCCTTTTACAAATTATCAAACTGAATTCTTCTTTTTAAGAAAAAAACTAATGTAGTCAACAAACCTTTATGATATTAATACTGAACTCTGTGGATACAAAGCTATGTCCATAGAAAACCGTTTGTGCGTGTAATCTTCTTAGCTACAATTAGAGCGCACGTTGTAAAACATTGTTAAAAATTCAAGGAGCAAACAAATGTAATGGGCCCACGGCTAGCCTATTCAAAATTATTTTAAACGCGGCTCTCTGTAAGCTGATCCAATGCGACTCGTTGCCTATCAGTTTGTACGTTTGCTGAACTCGTTCTGTTGACTAGGACACCTGTTCCCCTTTATATCCCAATTTTTCCCTCCTATAGAAAAGGATTTATTGAGAGCGATATTTGTTCAGGTTGGATTTTGTTCACGTTGGTTTGCGCAATGTTTTTCCATTAAGTGGCGAAACAATGCAATTCAGTTCAGGTGTTTTGATATTTTGGCTATAACGTGAATGAAACCACATAATGTTTCTTGAGCTTTATTCTGATAGTTCCATTGTCCTGGTTTTTAACGTTTCAGATAGTTTTACTACATTCGCTGAACCTCAGGACACCATTGTCTGATTGTCACAGTTTTTTTTAAGGTTGATTTGGGCCGCAATAAGGTCTAGACTCTTAAACTTTCAGGGGCTGAAATATTGTTATGGAAGGGAGTTCAAATTCAGCTTTGATGTACAACAGGTTGTAACTTTCATTTTTGTAAATTCAACTTTTGAGTGGCCTTTCTGCTAAGGGTTTTTCTCGACCTCGCAACCCAAAAAAAGTTTCCTTTATTTTTCTCCTCGGCGGGAAAAGTGTTTAGGAAACATGTTTCAAAATGGTTTGATTGTTTCTCAATTCTCTTTTCTGTGTTGCCACAACCTAAATCATGCATGTTTTAATTAAACCGCCTGAAAGAACAGCGATCCAAGACGTAAATTTGAGATTTGCCAATTTCAAGCGCGTTACCAGTTGAACAAATTAAAAGCTCTCAGAATTCTAATTCTTAATTCACGGACAAAATCTGGAAAGTCCAATCGGAATCCTTTTCATACTTATACCAGCGTGATCAGATCATATCCTTGTCTTCAACCTTCGCTTGCAAAAATTCACCAAATTAAAGGTGCGATTTTTCAAAACTAGTCAGGACCAATTCCGGCTGAAAATGCACATAAGGGCAAAACCTTGCTTTTTTTCGATGCAAATCAATGTGTTTCCCTGCACATTACTCTTGTGGAAGTTCATCTGCATAATTCACAAAAGATTGAGGAAAATCTCTCTTTCGCATTTTGGGTTGCATTAGTTGTTTGTTGATCCTCTACTCAAAGAATTTTATTTAAGTTCCTCTAATGACCAAATGCAAAAAATACAGTTTGTGCTGTGATTAGTCGTCTTTAACACAGGTCATGAACATAAAAAATGCATGTTATTAAGAAAATCAAAATTAACGGACAAAACCTAGCAATTTGGTTATTGTAGACATAATTTGAAGCCTTAAAGGACACTCTCCCCTCAACACCCCCCTAACGATAAAAAACGTATTTTTTTAAATTCATACATCTAGCGGCCTCGATTGAGAAAGTTCTGTACTTTTCTATAGAAGAGGAGTGAGGATTATATGCCAGGGTGGTCTTGGGCAGACCATCCGACTTATCAGGCTATAAGAGACGGTTTACTATTCGCTCAAGCGAAAGGCTAACGCTCGAAACGTCAGCCCATAAACTCTTTAAGGTGGCCAATTTACGATATCAACTCAGTAGATAATACTAAATTAGCCTGTCTCACTCTCCCACCGACGCAGCACCACAGTTTTTTTTAGAAACTTACCCAATTTAATCATTTTAGTACATGTAGTTTATTTGATTACCAGAGAATATACGATTACAACTATTTTACTAGTGTTACTAAAAAATATAGCGAGGTGAATTTTTTTTTTTTACTCAAAGGCAAACCGGTGGGCCAAGAAATTCGATGGTCACAGAAATCTTCTTCGGTAAAATCTCCCACATTAGTTTCATTCTCCTGAGAGACAGCTCGGACAAGATCACAGTTTGATTTATTCATGGTTTGGTTGTTTTCCATACCACACCACACCAACGAAAAAATTAATCACTGTTCAAATTTCAGGTATTTCTTTGCTCGAAAACCTGTGAAATTTCCGCAGCTGCGGACTAAAAAAACTCCCCTCTCCACAGCGGATCGAACGCCTTCCAACATCTTTGAGTATAAGTCGCTGACAATGAGAGAACATTCGTCTTTGGTCATTCATTTTCACAGTGACTAAATAGGAGTCTCAAAGGACAAACTATGTGGTAAGAAAAATGATCCGACGTAAATTATGTTGACAATGTTAACGTGGCTAATCTTTAGCCGATTTACCACAGTCCTATTAGTTATATAAAAAAAGGTGTCCTAGTTATATAAAAATAGACGTAGTTTTGTTTCTAATCTGTGCCTACACTTTATAAACAACACTGTCGGTGACAGAAACTATTTGTTTTGCTTTCAATTTTTTTTGGTTGTTTGTATGATTTGGACATTTTTTTTTTCGTTTTAATCTCCCACAGTTTACGAGAGTAAAGTTTGCGGTAACTTGTTCACGTTACTTACTCTTCAAAACAAGTATGTCATGTGATCTTCGGAGGCTCACACGTTGACGCCTCTCCTCCCTTTTTTTAAAACAAACATAGGGTTATACTGATTATAAAACGTCAAGGAACACCTTCCCTGACGATTACAAAGATCCACTGAGTTGGAAGGTATCCTTCTCAAAACACCCAGACGAAACCAAATACGTAGCGCCAGTCCCTTGTCTGATAAGTAGCTGGTTAATGTGGTATTCATAAGCCATTTGGTAATTCTCAATTGTAAAAAATGGCCTGTTTTTCTCATCAATCAATCAGTCAATCAATCAAGCAAACAATTGAAAAAGATAAAACTTGCATAGTGCGAGTGTATAGTCTTAAACTTCAATACGTTGCAAATAATTTTGAGCACAGAAATTAATCCTAACATTAGGGCCTCTAATAGTTAATAGGACCTAAACTACCAAAATTGTATCACTTTTTGAACGTTTCTATCAGAGTAGTATAAAGACCAACCATAATATGGGTACTATCTGATCTGACCGGTAATTACAAGTTAGTTTATGAACGGAGCACTCTGGCTGTCTTCTTCTGGAAAATGCTAAGAGCCGTTTGTAATTGTGTTTCTTTACAGTAAATCAGCCAAACGTGGGAATTCACAGTCCACCAATCTATCATACAGATCTCCCACATTCTGTATCAACTGCTGTTTTCGAGCATGCACAAGGGCAGCGTCACATGGATTCAAAACTCGCTTGTCGAGGAATTTGATTTCTGCTGGAGTTAAACCCAGTTTCTCCGCAAGGAACATCCACTCCTCTCCACCTAAAAACGCAAAAAATGTTGAGTCCTGGCAATAACATTTTTTTAAATCATTAGACCTTGAAAATTCCTCAAAGAATCTAAATGATTATTTGCCAAAATCGTTCTGCGTCGCTCCAGTGCGATCACGCTTCGGAATATTACGTCAGTGGGATAATGATAACGATCGCCTTAGTGCTCTTCTCTGTCCAGCCTATTTCCGTGGAAGGTTTAAATTAATTCATTTCCAAGGAATTTCGAGGAGACAGTCTTCAGGTGCATGTAACAGCCGCTTAATAAGAGGGTTTGTATATTGCTGACCTAAAAAAATATATCAGACAGAAGGGAAGGATGGGGTCACAAGCACCGAAGAATTCCCTCTACTTGTACCCTTGATGTGGTTCTGGTGGACTACTCGTGAGAGTACTAGAGAGAAATTGTGACGATAGACTTTTCACACTAACTGGACTTTTGCGGGGAACGCAACAATAACAGGGGAAAATAGCTCGGTAGAGACCACTTGCAGCGGGAACGGAAACTCGTCGCGGTTTACTGGTACACGGAGACCTGCTTCAAGCGAACTTGTTACGGAAGTCAAGGATTAGACAGCGTTTGGTTCCACAATAACTTCATGTCGAGAACCGACATGACCTCAAGCGTACTCAACTTCGCAATCAATGTAATCCAAAAAGCTTTCCAGTGTAGCTTGTTCCTTGACTAATATCGAGCGCGTGCTTCTGTTGTTCTCTAAATCTACAATATTTGAATAGTATCGCAAAAGAAGCGGAAAATGTCTCTTTGTATTTAATAGATTTCAATATTCCATGAAAGAATAGTGGATACAATAGATTAAGACAAATTTCACAGTTTCAATATTAAAAACACCTATCTTGATTGCGGTAGAACAGGAAAAAATGTCTCTTTGTATTTAATAGATTTCATGAGAAGAAAGCGAACTTTCATGAGAACCAATTTTCCCGTAACAAAATTGTTATTGAATCCTCGTTGAAAAATAAAGTTAGACTGCTGTCATAACCCATACCTAGATAATGTAAGGGTCGGCACACACGAGGGGACAGTAGTTGGGACTTGTTTCTGTAACTAGTCCAATGATTGACTAAGACAGAATATCCCCTTACAATATCAATACAATATCAAGCAGACAACTGATGGGAATAAAGAAAAATATCAAGTAGGGGATTATAAGTTGATCCAATACCAATTTCTCCAAACTAACATCACAAGAACTGTATGACAGACAGTAAGGAGGATTACTAATGAGGTCTTGGGAGTTAAAGGATTAATAGCAAAATTTAGAGCGCCTTCACTGAAATTCAGGGAAGCGTACAGGCGAAAAAGGAGCGGCCCTAAACACTGAAACTGAATTTACCTTAGAGCTGCAAAACATTGAAGTACACGTTCACATCCATGAAAAGCATATTGGCGATCTACGAAATTGGTCAGTCATTTACAATTTTGAAAGCTTTTTCTTCAGTATTTTCTTTCCCCTTGGGTTCGGTATAAAATTAGATTAGCATTCTTGTATTGCTAACACTCCATGCTCTATCTTCCACTTCTGTCAACTTTACTTGTTCAACCAAACCGGTGGCCGCTATCTTGAATTAAACGGAGTTCGAAAGGGGTTATGCGATCTTAAAACACTAATCAGTGATTGGATTATTTTCATTTGGTCGCACGGAATTGTTTCAGTAACAGTTTACACGCAGGGACCTGGATAATTCGTGGTAAAAGTCCCGGGAACTCGTCGCATGAATTTCAACCAAATTCAAAATTCAAATTCGTGGGACAAGTCTCGGGGACCATCTTTTAGTCCTTGTGACAAGAAGCTTTGATGAAGATGAGTAGCTCACACGAAGCGTCTCTTTCCTCATGTTATCCTAGGGGGTTCGTTTTTACGCCTTTTGAGATAGAGAACTTACAGCCATCAAGCAATAACTAGGAAATTACTTGACAAATATCCCTATAGAGTAATAAGTCTAAACAAAGTGTTTCGTCTCACCGCTAAGGTTTATCGTTAATTCTCTTCTCAGAGGCAAAGGAATCATGGCAACATCACACTTTTCAGGCAACAAAGGACCTACCGGAAGAAAGATTTCTTGATGAAAGTAAACTTGAACAACTGAGGGCATGGTTAGGGTGGTATTTTTTCATATAAGATAAATACAAGACGCATACTTTTTTATCATTTTCTTTTCTGGTAGACACCATTGTCACATCTAGTGCGCATTCTATGGCTGCAACATACTACTTTCACCATGTCATCACTTTGTCGACTCAACGAAATCACAAAAGTGTACCATGCCCATCAAATGACCGCATCACTATACCTGGTTATGCACGATCAGACTGGATGAGCAATGTGACTGAACCGTTGCTGACCCTAACATAAAACTAGTGTTACATACGAACAAGACGTAAGGCCTAATTTACCCTCTCTGTGACACGTGTTAAGGCAGCAAATGATAATGACCAGTGCACCTTAATAAATATAAGCCGAACCCAAAAATGAGACCCTCTCTAAGAAGTAAACCCCGACATCCCTCTGACATCAGTAAAGGTGTATTTCAATTCACCTGTTGTACCCGCGGGAGTAATTTCTCTCAATTTTTCGACAACTTCCGGCTTGTTCGCAGCCTTAGCCCTCAAACAAAGGTAGCGGATCCTCTTCTTAGTGTCAGGGTCTGGTTGTTCCAATAACAAGTTCCTCAAGGAGAGACTTTGCTGAAATTGGGCCACAACCTCACTTGCATCACATGTCTGTGACGTCAGGGCCTCAAGCACCCCACTGCACAGGACAATTGCTTGTCAAAACATACAATGAATACAAAAGTGGAAAAGAATGAAACAAGGAAACATCAAAGGATACATAATTTGTTTGTATCATTAATTATTTTTTTTCATCAACACAAATGAAATACGAAAATCGTTTAGATCTGAAACTGACTACCGAAGAATTTTTTAAAACTAAACAGCTACATAAAATAAGCTTACCATCTCCACTGCTTGGCAAAGGGCTCTTTTCGTCGCATCCGTCTGTGGCTTGCTATATGAAGAAAAACAAATCACGAAATTATCACTTTTAAGTACTTTCAATTATCACTGATTTAATCAAGAAATCTAAGGATTCGTTAGAGCATCAAGGCGTCCTGGGTTTTGAGTTACACGACTGCCGGCACCGCAAATCCCTATTTTAAGCTGTAAATCATTTGCTTTTGAAAATAACAGTGGAGGTAATTGAGGGAATGACGAGTAATATTTTATCCTGCAGACTTTCGTCAAAATTCCATGCACTGTCTTAACATCGGGTAACTTGAGCTAAAGAGATTCAATTCCACAGATACCTCTCCTTTTTTTGGGTGCTAAGAATGAACTCGTAATTGACAAGAAAAACCCATGAGTAATGGGTATAGATTCATTAGTACATTACCCGTTCCTCTAGAGATCCAAACCAGAATCCAACACAATCGACAGGAACCTTGCAATTTACGGCAACAACCGACCGTGTGCATAAAATAAACTCACTGCCAGTGAGGAGCTGAGACTCTGACCACAGGTGTAAGCACTGCTCCTTCTTACAACCACGTACATTATGGTTGCAGCAGTGATTCACAGAACGACTTGCACAACACACTGGACAGCATACTAAGAGATCATATGCCATGTTCTTTAGCCAGGGAAAATCTTTTCGTATGCACTCGAGAATCAATCCTAGTCGTCGACAGACTGCACGAGCAAAATTCACCTGAAAGGCGTCGAATGTGGATTTTGATGGCAAATTCACCTCTGATTCTACATCCGATGAGAGTCCAGCGGCACATCTTTCTTTGTGAACAACTACCTCAATGAAGGAAGAATGGCATTGGAGAATTATAGAACAACCTTCAGCAGGATGTGTGTAAAATCTAGCAAAGTTTTGATGCAACTGAGGTTGCGCTTGACTGGAAAACTCCTTTGTGCACCACTGAAAGACCATTAAGACCACACGAGGAAAAAGGCAAGACGGCACTTGACTGGACTTAAACTTGAGATAAAGTGGCGGGATCCCTGCAAAGGCTATCAGCTTCCTTACATCCTCCATCGGTGGGAACTTCAACATGGAAGGTACAAGATATTCAGTAGGTGAATCAGTCGCGACTGATGACGGCAAGGGACATAACAAGCAGAATTTCTCCATCAAGGCAATGAGAGTGTGACAAGTTATTCGGTCGTCAAACAAGGGGCCCCATACATGTTGCAAGAGCTCTTCTTCCAAGATTCCTGTTCTCTCAAGCTTCAGCCACAGCCGCTCGTATTTTCTCTCTTGGCTTTGGTATGGCCTTATGGTAATCACCTCCTTGAAGACATCTACCAACCATTGAGGGTCCAAGATCACCATTCTGTTTAACTGTTGAGTGCAATCAAAATGGACTAAAATTCTCTGATCGTGCAAGAAGTTCAACATTGTCACAAATTGTTCAGTGCTGGAAATACCACATTTTTCGGTTGCAATAGTTTTGGCTTCATTGAGAGTAATCCACTTATGGCCGTCTTGATTCTTCTCCTTCATTTCCTTTTCAAACTTCAACCACCTGATCGGAATTGCCTCTTTCATTTGTGGTAATTCATTGGCAACAGTTTCTACCTCCTTTCTCAGACGATCGACTTCTGGACATTTTTCTGCACTTCCAGATTTAGTGTTGTCTACAACAAAGACATCAACTAGATGTTTCCCATAAACCTGCGTCTTCAGTGAGCCAAATATCTTGCGGGCCAACGCATGAGGATCTAAACCATGAAAAGGTTTATCAGCGTGAGTGCAAACAAGGAAAACTGGGGGAAGCCTCTCCGGTAATATTTCAGATGAAAGCTTTTCCTGGAGATCCCCGTCTTCCAGAACCAAACCAGATACAGAGGACATCCATAAGTCAAGATAATCCATGTTATTCCTTTCACAGAAAACATCCTCGATATCCTCGTAGAATCCGCGTTTCAATTGAGGGCTGACTTTGCCATCTGGATCGCGACTTAAGTCGTTAGCTAAAAGGTAAATCGCTCTTGTTGTGAGAAATATAGGATGGGTGGCGTAATAGACAGATTTTCCACCAAAATCCCACAAAATTGAGTACAGATCCTCTTTACCTTGGGCACTTTCGGCTTCGTCTAGTTGAAAAAAATTTTCAACCAAAGTAGCTATTTCATGCGGTACCTCTTTTAACTCAAGTACATCCGGTCCAGCCTCGACTTCACCAATCGTACCTGTATTCTTTATCTCCTCTAACTTTGTTCGTTCTTCATCTGAATTTGTTGCTTCATGTTTCATTCCACTTTCAAGATTTGACGCATCAGCACTTTTCGTCTCTTTTGAATTTATGCCTTCTTTAAGGCTCGTGAAAATACACTGAGCTGTACATTGTTCATAGGAAATGGGTGCTGGATCTGAATTTATTGCTTCATCTCCTCTTTCTCCTAGTTTCCAAACCTCTTGGGAAATTTTGCAGTAGGATGGGTCACTCTCTATTCCTATGGTGGTGGTTTCTTCTGGGTTGAAACGCTCTCCTTTTAATGATCTCTTTAAGCTTGTTTTTCCCGACTGACCTTGTCCAATGAACATGATGGGAACTCTTTTTACAATTGTTTTCCCCTCCAAGAGTGCGTTTTGATAGGCTAAAACTGCTGAATGACCTCGGGAAATAATCTCCGTTGGGGCTATGTGGGTAAATAAAGGAAACGTCACGTAATAAGAAAAATTTCCATCTCATAAATGAAACGCACTAAATAAAGGAATCAAACTGAAGAAGGAAGGGATAAATAAGGCTTTACAAAGAGTATGTGGCATTAACCTCTTTTATTTATCGTAAAGATGTAGCGACCTTTTTCGGCTTGAAAAATAAAGTTGGGTTTTATTATAATATGGTTACCACGGTAGGCATTTTTTAAAAAAATATAATTCATGCGAGTGTTTACTGCGTTTCAGTTTTGTTACCATACTTGAGCTTATGACAATCTTAAAACGTGAAACCTTCAAAAGCTCGGACGATCCATTTCGTTTATTCTTTAGTAATTTTTGTCTCTGCTCACGTTATAATTTCCTTAATTTAGGCTTTGGCATGTTCACAAACCCTTGTTTGTTTCTTTTGTTGCTATCTGCCGGTATCACAGCGGCTATGGATCCCCTCTCGCTGATTTAGGCCCCCTACAAAACTTCCGCTTTTCAGTCTTTTCTCCATCATGAATTTATCTTTTTAGTAATGTAAACTTTTTGAAGACGTTCTTTGGATTCTGGACACAGAATTCCTAAATACTCATATGAGCCATCAATACAAACTCCTACATTAGTTTATTAGCGGCTTTAAAAATGGGAGAAAACACAATAAAGTACGTACTAGAAATTTCGGTATGAAAGTGAGTGCTAACGATAGGAAAAGGGTCGGGAGGGGGGTTACGTACAGGGGTACATAGAGGAATAATTGGGCGATTCTTTAGGCAGTGATCATTTTGGTATTTTATTCCAATAAGTGTTATTGGTTCACAAAGGATTACATGAATAGCTTGACAATACTCTAAGAACATTATTAGGTTGCCTTTGCAGTCTTTGAGCACACTATCTCACATGATGGAGGAAAAACTAAACAAAATAAGTTTTATAGGGGGGTATAAAGGGGGTCCATATCCGCTGGCAGATTTGGACCAGGAGGTCCAAATCTAAGGGAGTCCACATCCGCTAGGACACCGGGTAAGTGTTTTAATGTACTGAAATGTCACTTTCGAGCTCTAAATGTCACTTTTCTAGTTCCATTTGTCGTCAGGTCAGACATCGTGTCTTCTACTGGTACCATGTAACCCAGTACAACCTGCCGCATGGACGGGTGGTCGGCGTCTAAGCTGGCTCCCCTCACCAGCTGTTTTCTGGTGAGGAAGGTGGCATGTCACCCTTGCAGGACTAAAAACAACACCTGCTAAACGGCGGATGAGATCCTTGTGAGCCATCGGCCATCATGCAAGGCGGTCCTGATAGTCAACTCGGCTTCAGCTCCAGCAACGGCAGTCCTGACAGTCAATTCGGCTTCAGTTCTGACAGCATGCAACGAGCTTCTCTGCGACCATCTTAGCTTTGCTGTGTTGTCGATCAACAGAGTTTCTCGCCGAGGGACTCTGCCCATGCGCCAAGCAGTGTCGACATTATAGGTGCAACCCCACAATTTTAATGGAAGTACAGACCAGGAGTGAAGATATGGCTACAGCATACGTGGGAACCGATGCGCCACTCGATACGGCGGTGGCGACAAGTGGACGAATTCCGTATACTGCTACCGCGTCCGGGGAAACCGGCTAACGACACCATCTACCCTCTAATTCCAATGCCCGAAACAAACAACGTCTTAACCTAGGAGCTTGGAATGTTCGTACGACCAACGACGGTGACTCTTCAATAAGACCAGAGCGAGCAACTGCCCTCATCTCTCGTGAATTAGAGAAAGCGAGCATCGACATCTGTGCTCTAAGTGAAGCTCGACGACCTGGCACGGCAAACATAGTCGAGAGGAGTCATACAATTTTCTGGAGTGGAGGAGAAGAGAGAACAGCGGGCGTTGGTTTTGCTGTCTCCAACTGGCTAGCTGCTCAAGGTATTAGCCCTACACCAATCAGCGACAGACTCATGTCAATGCGCATACAGCTTAAGGGTGGCGACAATCTAACACTCATCAGCGTTTATGCACCAACCATGCAAAGACCGCAGGAAGAAAAGGAACAGTTCTATGAAATGCTCGGTAACTGTGTATCAGCTGCCGAAATGGACAGCGTTATCATTTTAGGTGACTTTAACGCTCGTGTGGGTTCGGACTGAAAACTATGGCCGAATGTCATCGGGAAGCATGGTGTTAGAAAGATGAATTCCAACGGTCTCATACTCTTGGAATTTTGCACCAGATTCCAGTTCAGTATCACGGGCACAATTTTCCAACTGAAAGACAGCTTAAAGAACACATGGCAACACCTTCGTTCAAAACACTGGCATCAGCTCGACCATGTACCATGCAAAAAGGCCGCAAAGTCATATGTTACACTGACAAAAGTCAATCGTGCAGCAAACTGCTTCACTGATCACAAGCTCCTTATGTCTAAGTGTCTCTTCTCCATCAAGAACAAGAAGAGAGGTACAAGACCCCCCAAAAAACTAGACACACGCTTGGATGACGACAAGAAAGTATTGCTAGAACAGTTTCTAGATGAGAGGCTGTCCAGCTGTAACACTGACGTTGACGAGCTCACAGTTGTTCTCCAGAACGCTGCTGCCCATGTCTTTGGCAAGAAGAAAAGAGTGCAAAACGACTGGTTCGATGATCAGGATGATGCAATTCAAAAACTCCTCCAAGATAAAAAATTGCTCAAAAACAATTGGTTCCGACATAGAGCTGAAGAAGCAGAGCGGTACTCTCAGGAGAAGAACCAAAGAGACTTCAATGCCACTCTAAACGCTGTTTATAGTCCAAGATCCAGAACCTCTCATCCAGTGAATTCCAAAGATGGCGAGCTCCTGACTGCCCCTGACATGATAAAAGACAGATGGGTTGAACATTTCCGCGACTTACTAAACCAACCAACTGATGCTGACTTGACCATTGCCGATGGCATAGACCAGCTTACAGTCATTGAATCAATGAGCCGCCCAATTGAAGAGCAAGAACTTGACCAAGCTCTTAGAAACACCCAACTAGGAAAGAGCCCAGGTCCTGATGGCATTCTTCCTGAAATACTTGTGAATGGTGGATGTCGTCTGAGAGCTTTCCTGCTTGTCCTTTTCAACATCTGCTGGGTTACAGAGATAATCCCATTGGACTGGATAGATGCGAACATCGCCATATTGTTCAAAAAAGGTGACAGAAGTCATTGCGGTAATTACAGAGACATATCACTACTTAGTGCTGTTGGCGGACGTCATTTTGCAGAGGCTACACCAGTGTACAGATCAGGTTACGTTACGATGGAGATCTTTTTGACCTACGCAGGCTTAAAGCAAAAACCAAAGCCCTAACAGAGTTTATCAGAGAAGCTCAGTATGCTGATGACATTGCTATTTTCAGTGACACGCCAGAGGGTCTGCAATCGCTTTTGACCTCCTATAATGACGTCGCTAAGAGGATGGGCCTGTGCATCAACACGGTCAGACAGAGACTATGTGTATTGGTAACACAGCTGATTTCTTCGTAGACGGCACCAAGTAAGCTAACGTCACTCGCCTCAAGTACCTCGGCAGCTATGTCAGCAGCGACTGCTCTATGAAGGAGGAACTTGCATCTCGTATTCAAGCAATGTCATGTGCTTTTGGTCGACTGCGGAAGAGAGTTTTCGACTCGCATGATGTAACAGCTTCAACTAAAGTCGTTGTGTACAACCAATGTCTAATGCCCCTTCTGATGTATGGAAGTGAAACTTGGACTCTATATCAACAGGAAATCATGCAGCTCCATACAATACAACAGCGTCATCTACGTCTCATCTTAAACATCAGCAATGAAGAGGTTTTGCGACGCGCTGACGTTGAAGACATGGAGGTGATGTTAGTAAGGACCCGTCTGCGTTGGTTAGGATACGTTTGTCGAATGAACAATGATAAGCCGGTAAAGCAGCTCTTGTACTGTGAGTTGGCTCATGGTTCTCGCCCTATAGGCCGACCCAAGCTTCGGTTCAAGGACACCTGCAAAAGTCCTTTGAAGTGCGGTCATGTCTTAGATCAGTGGCTTTCAACCGTGAACAACAGAGCCGAATGGAAGAGACTCACAAGGGTAGTCTGTGACGCATACAACTCTAAGAGGGTCCAGGATTATGAAAAGAGAAGGGCTCGATGTAGAGCTGAACAGAGGAAAACTGTGGATATACCCGTGTTTGGGCTATAGGCCTATTATATTATATATAGTAATTTAAGCTGTTACCTACAGGTTGTTCTGTATTAATTGAAGCCAAGACGCTCGTTTTCATATACGTTTTACAGTTCATGTAAGACATGCAGGTAAAAAAAAGAAAACAAAACAAAACAAAAAAATTCGAGAGAGTTGCCTGGAAAATGTTCGGTAATTATAGAAATCATGTTGATCGATGGCGTTACACCGTTACTCCGTGCATCTCTACTTTGATAAAGCACGCTGTTTCAGCCAATCAGAACGTGCGTTAGATAAAAACTTTAAAATTCGCATTCACAAGAGCCAAAATGGCGCCTTCATTTTCCCCTTTGCCTGGAAAGTAAACGTGTACATTGTGCATGCTTTGTTGCTTTCCGCTATCGGTTTTCTGTTGCTGAAGAAGAAACTCTCAAGCGAATTAGCAATTGTGCTTCACCTATTTCACCTTGCGAGACTCCTATTGTGATGTTCTTGAAGAGATGTTTAGCTTTGAAGAAATTCTAAAGGTCCCTTGCCCTGTGGCAAGAAAAGGAAGCAAAGAGGATGTGGTAAAGAGCAGGTATTGGGCTACAACCTATGGTGACGGCACACGACAACTGAGCGTGAGAGCAAAGTCGACCAAGGATAACCCAGGCACTCTGCCCATCAGCGACTACAAGCGTCGGACATTTCTGAGCAATCCAGCTCCTTTGGAGGATCTCACTGAAAGAATTCCAGAAGAAAGCAAAACAGATGAAGGAGACGAGGAAAATGTTGTTGGCAGGGAGGAAAGTGTTGAGAAGAAAGACGAAATAGTTCTCATTACCA